CATACATTGTATCAATAATAATTTTAATTATTACTGTCAGTATACTTAAACTTTTCTGTACAAAAGAACTCAGGCCATGCTTTCCCGGTGGGGGGAATACTATCCGGTCGCTCAGACTAAAGCAATTGGATCTTTTTGAGGAACTCAAAACCGGAGCTGTCGGTTGAACAAAGGTTGAATCACGAGGAGCAGTGTGAAATTAGCAATCCGTTGAAGGGCCGGTATTCAGTTTATCGCATCAGAATTCACTTCAATGTTTAAATCGATTGACCATGCACCTTCGTGCGCCGGTTTTGGTTGCAGTTTCATGATTACCCATGTAGATGAAGGAGGAAAGGGATGATAGGAATTTTCGAATCAGTATCAGAGTGAAATTAGAGAATTCATGAAGATGAAGGTTACCACTGCTTACGACAACCAGAAACATCACTCTGTGTCTCCAACCACTGATTTCGCTGATCATTTAGTAAACAATACACCTCCATACCCAGCAAGCAGGTGATCACTAAAGGAACCACGATGGTATGGGTGTGGCTCGTGGCTTGTTTATAGTCAGTTAGTTTAGCCAACTCGCCTCAGCAAACCACCAGTGGTTCACTCACCCGGTGATAACCCTGGGTGTTGGCTTTTCATTCTCTCACTTTGGTGAGAAACCACCCGCCGCGTGGGACCAGTGAGTAGGGCTTTTGCAGGAGAGTATATCTCTGATACTTAGTCATTTAGAAGCATTTCGCGAAGTTCAAGGGAAGTATGATCAGACACAACCCAGGACATACCCTCCAAATTTACACAATTTGACCAGAGTGGATTTTGTCTTGTCTCAAGATATCACTCCCTCACGGGTGCGCCCATTAAATGTGACTTTTGGCTCACGGTGATTGATTTTGTATTTGACGCTAGTTCAAAGAAATCACCCATCCATAAGGAGGGTTGCCGAAAACAGCCGCTGTACGTTTCTAACTAAATTCCCAATCCAGGCTTTATTTTGAATGGTCTGACATTGGTCGTTCCGGTGAGTGCTGAACGAATCACTCGACACCTGAATTTTGAGTTACAAGGCCAGGGCATACAATTTTTTCGAAGGATCTTCGAGAGCTAGGAGCACATAAGGCAAAAATGATCCTTTATTCTTGAATAACCGAAAGCATAGCCTCGTGTCAATTGCTAATGCGCAACAGTCTGTATTCCAGCCGTATTAAATTCCTTGACTAAGACAAATTGCTGCTTCGTGCGGTTGCGGTACACACACGCCTGAGTTCAGATTGTGACAACCAAATCATGGCACAATGAGCTTTATGGAAAGAAAATAGTCAAAATAACTAATAGACTCTTCACGTAACGCTACTGAGTACGGATGCTGCAACACGTTTGGCTCGTTGGTTCGGTTAAGTTCAGTTCTTCAACCGTTAACCATGCACTTTCGTGCGCCCGTTTTGGTTGCTGTCTTTTAGCTGCCCATTGGGATAAAAGAGCGGAATGAAGACTAGAATGTTGAGAGTAGATTCAAGCGTAAGAAAGGGAATTTATATCGACTGATGCTAAGAGAATAATGAATGACGAGATACATGAGCGCTATTCACCCATATCACTCAGTGTATCCAACCATCGGTGACCTTGATCCCAGGGTCCCCAACCAGGGAGCCTAACGGGACCTATGTGACCCATTTTCCGGCTTGGGGTATTCATACCCTCATGCCAGGTCTTAGCAGGACCACCCTTGACCTCTTTACAATCAATGCCTGCCTTGGCAAACATTGCTCGCCATGGCAACCTATCTGATGACATCCGTAACACATGTCCCAACCACCTTAATCTATGGAGGTCGACATTTTGCTTCAGTGGGTGACCGTGAATGCTAAAACTCTACGCCTAACCTCAACATTCCTCGTCCGGCTCCCCACCAGACCCGTGCAATGCGATGTAGACAGAGGTGTTCGAACACCGACAATTTATTATTATCCTGTTCCCGTAGTGGCCAAGTTTCTGCACCGTAAACCAGCATCGGTCGAAATGCTGCAACATATACTCGACTTTCACAGACAGCCGGATGTCACGACGGCACCACAGATATCTCACGTTGACAAATGCAAATTGAGCCTTCTGTATGCCAGCTGATACTTCATCCGTGATGCGTCTATCGGGTGAGATATTGCTGTCCAAATAACAAAACTTGTCCACTTGCTCTAATACTTCCGCAACTAGATTGAAGCTGGGTGCTGAACCAATCCAATATCGTAGCAATATTTTACACTTTGAAGGTGACAAACGCATACCGAACATGGCTACACTAGCGTTCAAACTATCCGGAAAAGCTTGCAACTTACCTGCATCTTCACTTTGTACCACAATGTCATCTGCATACTCTAGATCAGACAGTCTGCCACCTGGGAGTAAATCGATATCGCTATCCTCGCACGAGGATAGGGCTGTTTCAAGAGTTAAATCTACTACAAAGTTAAACAGAAATGGAGAGAGATGGCAACCCTGTCGAACACCACTTTCGGTGGTGCACTGGAGTGAAAAAGTGCCGTAAGCTCGGATTCGACTTCGGCTATTAGTATAAAGCCATCGTAATATTGAAATAAATAGTGAAAATTCTCGGGCATACCCTTCAGGGAAAGGCAGCTCCAGAGTTTAGAGCGATCGACTGAGTCAAAAGCCGTTTTCAGACCCAGGAAGATGGAAATGGTGGGTCTACGAGAGGAGTGTTTGTGTTCTAGGATCTGACGAAGAGTGAAGATGTGGTCAATACAACCTCGACCAGGCCTAAAACTAGCCTGGTTCTCACGCGTGTACCGTTCACGTGCGGCAGACAATCGACGGTGCATGATACCGGTGAGAAGTTTAGAGACAATGTTGATTAAACTAATTTCTCTGTGGTTTCCACAAGAGGATCTATCGCCCTTCTTTTAAATCGGTATGATTACCGATTCACACCATTCCGTTGGGATCTGTTTGCTCTCCCATCCTGACCCCAGGAGTTTCATTAACTCCAAAACCAAGGCTGAACCTCCATCCTTAAAAACCGATGGAGACAGTCCGTCGGGGCCGGAAGCCCTATATCCTTGGTAAAGGAGTTAATCACAAATATGTAGCTGACCGAACTTTGCAAATCATCACAAAATGCTACCAAACACAGGGCCCGTTGAGGTATTGTGTGTCATTCATAGTCGGAATATAGCCATAATGTTGTAGCACTTAAAATAAATGACTCTTTGGTTACTGAAATTTTCAATGTTATGCTAACTCTCTAAGCATTTTCTAATGAAGAATATTTGAGTTTTCCCGCACAAAAATGAACTTATTGAAGCCTGTAATAGAGTAATTAGACAGAAGCATTCACTGCGCTCATAATTTTGGTGCGCACCAAATAAGAAAAAAACAGCAACTTACTTACATGAGTACCAGTTAAATCCTCTTCGTTATCCAATTCCAGCTTGATGGGATCATGAGGAGGTAAACCCATAGGGTAAACAATCATGACGGCTCCTTGCAACATCATTAGAGCTTCTTTTACAGTCGCTTTATCCATACACTTATCTTGTTTGACCAAATCACGCTTGATCAACTGTTTGGTTTCGTCAATCGTCCGCTTCAAGACCTGGGCCATTTTCTCGTTTGGTGCTAAGGGACATTATTGATACATGCTCGGGATCACTTACCACGTCCGTTTCGGCGACCGATTTCATCTTTGCACTCAATATAGCCACCACTTGGAATGCACTTCTCACCCCATTCATCTTTCAATTTTAAATCCACAATTTGATCGTCTGTTAGACCCTGAACAAACGAGGAGTTTGTTGAAACAAAATGATACTGAATTACCTGCATGTTTGGAGGTAAAGAAACACCGTGCTTGGCAAGATCGTCCATTTCAGCGCATATTCTGTGAATCTTTAGAAATCCGTTGTAAATTTCACATGAAAGTTCCAATATTTCCTCAATTGTACTGGTGGCCGGAACTTCCAGCAAAAATTGTGCTGCATCATTCCGCTTCAGAACGATACGAACCATTGGCGGAGATTACCGATCAACTTCTGTTAACCAAACAAAAAAACACAAATTGAAGATAACTAGTCAACCAAATCGAGATAAAAAAACGACGATCGCAAACTAGAAACCCCGGAATAGTATTACCTATCCTGAAAGACGGTTTTCCCGTTCAATGCACAGCACAGTGTTCAATTATGCGTCGTGCAAGTCTTCAATTCCCTGAGGACAGGTGACATCTCTTCCTTTTCTGTCAATAAATGTTCCGGCAGTTCTTGTAAGTACCTAGAAGGTAAATCTCGCTCATCACCTCCTTGTGTGCTAAATTTAAAGTGGGAAAGGGGAATAGTAAACCTATTGGAGCCTTATGTGATTCGACACTCCAAGTCCCGAGGCTTAGGTTTCCGGTTTCCACCACTGAACAGTAGGTCTTCGTGACTATGGGGTCCACTCCTTCTGCTATTCATCATACAAGTGTGTGCATTAAAAAGGTTGCTGAAACGATCACCCATAATCAAGATGCCAATCCGGGACAGGGAGAAAACCCTGATTTTAAACCACTCACGAAGAAAGCCATGATCTGGAATTCAAATACTCGAACCTTGTAATTCACTGGAATAAATAAGGAATAAGATTCGTTGGCCACCCTGAACGCTTGAATAACATCCTAAGGTTTAAAAGTTTTATCGAAATCAACACCCACGCCAATGAGTTGCGGTTCTCAGACACCTTTCACTGTTTTTGGATTAGGATTTGGATTACCGAGGGCTCCGATCGTGAATCTCTAAGATAATCATCGACTTCTTTTTGGATAAGTTGACCGTATCCCGTCCACAAGTGAGTCACAGATGTTTTCTACTTTATTAGATGTTCCTTTACTGCAATTTGCTTGCTTTCAGTTTCATTTTTAGTTTGTACAACCGTTAACCATGCACTTTCTTGCGCCATTTTTGGTTGCTGTATTTTGGTTGCCCATTGGGATGAACGACAGGAGAAGACAGCAATATTGAAAGTAAGGTCGAACAGAAAATGGAGAATTTCAGTGGTCTAAGGTTGCACGGAAATTAAGAAGATGCACGAACGCCACTGTTTACGACACTCAGTCACATTACTCAGTGTCTCTAACCATCGGTCACGATCATTCAGGGAGCCTAACGGTAATTTGCTTGGTATAACGTATGATTTCAGGTCGGTGAAATAGACGGATTAAAACCCTAATTGAACTTGTATGCAAAACAAATGCATCGAAGGACTGTTAAAGAAGTAACTGGAATGGAAAGTCACTTGAGTTATCATACTTTATTTTTTCCCAACGTACTCCAGTTGTGAAAAGATTCTAAGTTGTACCAATATCATGTTGTAGAACAATTGGCACAACCCGTCGAAAGAAACAGGGGAAGGCCAAGGTAACGGGAATGATATTAAAAAACAGAGAAGAGCGTCGAGTGGTAGATGTGTTACACTCATAACTGGCATATCAAAGCAGCCATTGACGCTCACTTGTGTTGACTTATCCAAGGCAGGGGTAGCACGCGCAGGCGCAGTCACGCTTTTGCTCGGGCACTGGTGAACTTTGGCCATATATTTCGTTACCTATGGGCTTTTGTTAGGCCTCACTGTGGTCGGGGGTGGGTAT